TGTAACACCCCAAAGCCCAAAGCAACGAACTAGCCCAATAACTTCGAATTCAACTTAAAACCATGGTGAAAGTTATTGGTAGTCCACTACTTGAGACTTATAATGAGCTAACAATTCTCACATTCTATCAATGTGGAACGAGTTGTTACACCTGGCTATAGGCCAAGGGGCTACAGACCAAGGGCAGCAAACAGCCCAAGGGCATCACTTTCTGAAGCCCATTTATACATATGTAGGTTCATTTTGGGCATAGAAAAAATTACCGTTAGTAATYTGTATATAGCCCAAGGGACAAAGGGCGTCGACCAGACAAACTTGCTCTGTCAACTGTTGCTCATCTCTCTCGGCCTAGTTTCAAGAATGAACAAACTCTCGAGTCCCCGACCTCTCTCTCTGTTGTTTCTGACTTTCTGTTTATGAGGTATGAGACCTATTGCTCTCAACATCTCGCTCTCGACCTTGTTTCTGGAACTGGTTGTGAGGTTGTCTCGTAGTTGGGTCTTGATGGCTCCTCCTCATTTATGGAATCTGGAACTGAAACTCCAGAACTCGGTCTCTGCCTTTGTCTCTCATCTCTGTTTAGTTTGGTGAAATTCTAAAATTTGATTTCTAATGTTTTATGTTTAGTGTTTACTGTATAGTTTAGTCTGTTTAGATTAGGGTTATTTTATTATTTACTTATTTTGTTTTATGTTTACTGTTTACTTAATTTAGATTTGGTAAATTTAGGTTAGAGATATTTAATTTATGTTGTTTAGTTTAGGTTTTACCCAAATTCTTGTTTTATCATTTATGTTTACTGTTTAGTTTAGTTTAGATTAGGGTTAGAAAAGACAAGAAAAAATTGATCAATCTTTGCAAATATCTCTAAATAAGTTTATTGTTAGAYAACTAAGTTGTTGAAGTCATATATACGGTATACCATGAGTCAAGAAATATTTAATGAGTTGACAAATTTTGAGTATTGAGAGTAAGTTTTTAGCTAATATTAGCTATGATAAAGTTATTGATATTTTTGTTTTAGGAAACACAAGCAAACATTGTTTTAGATGATGTATTTTATATTTTGTTATACGGGGTTTTGGTTCATATCCCCATGGCATCATTTTTGTTATACTTAATAAAAATCAGCGTGAAGATGATCTTGACCAGGTTCCAAATCTCTTCAAATAGTTTATTTTAGTTTTTATATACACATATTAGGGGCATTTTTTTGGCTTTTCATCATTGGGCATTCGAAATCTTAAGACCAGCCCTGACCAATCGTGGGATAGTGAGTTTTGTCCTATCCCATCTAGTCCGATCATATATACCAAACACAACATTTATGAGCTTTCACAAATTGAGGGTATTATCAAATTCAAGATAATATAGGGGCCTAAATATAACATTATCTGAAAGCAAATTATTTTAAAAGGAAGGCTAATAGCACTCCTACGTTTTGCTAATGCACCCCTATCCCCTTTTAAAAACCTGCTGATTACGCCCATTTAACTCCGACAAAAGCAGAAGTAATCATCTCCTCGATTTTTATTCACTGTTGTTCTTCTTGGACATTGCCAAAGATTCAGTTTCCAGTCCCTTGATCTCGGAAACCGATTCGATTTCGAACACATTCATCGATTGATCCGTGACACATAGAGCCTTGGAGGGAAAGAAAGATAGAATTTAGACAGAAATCGAGAGAGGAAGTGGTTTATATATGGACAGAAAAAGAAAGATGATGGAATGGAGACGAAGTTGAAGAATACGAAGAATAAAAGGTGGGTAGATGGCAAGGGCAGAGCTTAATTATAATTATTCGAATAATGGAAGAGCAGGAACTCCCAAATGGTGTTCTTATAAGAGAATTACTGTTATCATATGTTCAATCAACATTGCTGTTGCTCTCTACGTTTTCCACAATCTGTATACTTCCCTTTACTCGTACCCATATCAAGATTCACACAACGGTAATTACTAAAACCCTTTTTTAGTCTCAATCTACTTTCCTTTCCATCTTGGCGTTTTGTTCTTTGTAAAACCCAGTTGTTAATTTGGTTTCGTTGGTTGTTTGATGATTGTTTCCTTTTTTACTGATTAATCAAGTTGTAACGTTTGCTGGTTTTTCGTTTCTGTTTTTATGGGTGTTTTGTTTGTTCATCTGTGATTCAATAGTGGCTTTTGAGAAAAACCCAAAACCCAATTGTGATTTTTGCCCTTTTTTCCAAAATTGACGAGTGCGTTGCTTGTACAGATAGAATTGTAAATACATTTTGCTTTTCATATTTTGATGGATGTCTTTTTCTCATATTTGCTTTATCTGAGGGTTTTGTGGAAACCCCAATTTGATTTTTTCAAATTGATTAGTATCATAATTGTGAAGTTTTCTTTTCGAATCCTCTTTATGCGCAGCTGAATTGCCAATTGGTTTTGAGAAAAAATTGTTTGTGCTATTGGTTGAATTTGATGTATGCTTTTTTGTAGCTGTTAGTTACACCCCAGATCAGATAAGAAATATGGAAGAATCGGTGCGAATACGAACGGAATCTGAACCTGTAAAGCTCATTGAAATGGTAAGATTCACACTTCATTTTGATTGTTGAATTGCTAGTGATTTATCATTTGATCAAAGAACTAGACTAATCGGGTTTTCCGAATCTTGTTTATATTCTTGGTAAAAGGTTAAAAAGATCAAGAAACATTTTAATAGAGAACCCGTGGTTGGATTACCTCATCCATTGAAGCAGAAGCTAAGTGACGAGCTCCGTGAAGTGTTGAGAGTCTTGAATGCCAGTGCTAACACAACTTTACAGCATGGTGGGTTTTATCTTTAGTAATTTCTTTTCGTTGCCGTGTTTGCAAGTCACATCATGTGCAAGTTATGCTTTAGATCTTGCTTGTTCCTTGAAGTTTTCTAGAAACTAATATTTTATTGGCATCATTTTGAATCCTGACTTAGAGAATGATCATAATATATTTGCTTAGAAAATGTATACATTTTTCATTGGGATCGTTCACCTAACATTGCTTATTAGAGAAATTGGTGGGGACCGTGGATTAATGCTTACTAGATTTATCTACTTCTTCAAACATACATATGCTCCAAATATAAACTGACTTTTTTCTAAACATATACATCGAGTATGGACATTTTTGCACATTTATTCTGTCAATATATTCCTTACTTTTCAAGTCTGTATCGTGTTCTCCATGATGCACTAATCAGAAAGACACTTTCAACTAAAAAGGCGATTGAGAATCTCAACCTAAAGAAAAATGCAGCATTCCTAGCGGCTTCACCCTTGTTAAATGCTAAAGAGCATACTGAACACTCACCCTTTCTCGCCAACAAGCTTAGCTCCTAGTCCACGCCCCAAGATGTAGTAGTAAATAAGGATTTGTGCGGAAAATAGATCGGGGTACTCCAAAGTAGCAGTGAGGCATTGAGCCCCACAGCTCCGTGGGATGCTGAGTGGTGTCCTCCCCTCCCTAATTCCTAAAACATATTTACTAAGCGGGACACCCCAAAACTCTTTCTTATCAAAACCCCTTCCCCTTGTGCAACCTTATCATGCTGTTTTCATTATGCATTACCATAACAAAAAGAGAAAATCATTAAAAAAAAGAGATTGTACTTGTGACTAGGAATGAACCTTTCTCGGTTTTCCCATCAATAGATATGCCTGAAGTACCGAAACTCTCTCCTTTAAATGAAAAGCGGCAAGCTGAACGTGAATTGAAGAAGAGAGCCTCTATGAGAGATTCAAGCAAGTCAACCATGAGGTGAATCGATAAACTGTAAAGCATTTTCTTGAATCACACCAATCGAAGACCCCACAACCCTTGAGGATCACTCTATGAATAGGTAAATTAACTGTGACCTCCCTCATGGGGGGGGGGGTTAAATCTTGGCAGCCCACCCCCCCTCCCCCCACAAAAAAAAATCGAGGGAGGACAAATAAGCCAACGTTAATAGCAGGTCTAATTCCACGATAAAAGAGCTCAGACTCCCCTTTTCTGATCATCTTATCTGCAAAATGAGACTTCCTCAATCATACGGCTCCGTCCCAAGCTTCCATCATCGGCCTTGTCATTAGATCACTATATGCATGTATTTTCAGCCTGGGCTCTATAATCTTTTGCTTTCTCATATGAATTCTTTGAGCTCCATCTTCGGCCTTTTCATCAGATCACTAAGAACGAAATCGTTCTTACCACAATTTCATAATATGTCTGTCATTACGTGGGATTATCTCCTTCAAGGTAGTCCTTGTTGATTCACACGGGATTCCACTTGCCCTCATAGAAGCTGGGGATGAGAATCAAGTTCAGAACCTGATCTAAGGCATTCTCGCAATGGCTTTCATATCTTGGTAAATAAGAGATCGATCCCGTAGTTCAATCCTGGGAAGGGTCAAAAAGTGTATCCACCCGGTCCGGGGAAGGTGTGTAGCATTTAACCAACCCGACAACCTATGCCTTGACCTGCATCGAATGTCGGGCTATTCATTGAACGTAAAAGTACGGAGACAGAGTTTCCCCCAATCTGAGATGTTAGCGAGATTAGCTACACGCCACTTAACCTAAAGAAAGGTTGATAGGAGAACTTCACTTAGGAGTTGTTTGGCGGTTGCTGAATGGTTTGGTGCAGAATGATTAAGAGGCTATCATGATATAGTGCAAAATGAAATATAATTGTTCGGTAATTGTTTACAATGGAATTAGGGTGCTGAATAGTTAAGGGAGACCCAGGATACAAAATCATTCAGATGGTTTTAGAACCATTAAGAGACAGACTTTTCTTTTGCCAAACAAGATTCACATCTTAACGATTTAGAGACTACCTCTTAATTGAACTATTAAGAGGTAAACAAACAGCACCTTACTTCAAGAATAAATCATTTTCTTAATAGATCTCGTCTTGTTCTCACTCTTCTTTTTTTTTTATTAAAAAATAATCCAGATATCTCAGATAAACTACACTAGAGGGAACTGCCAAGTACAAATGATGCCTAGCTCTGAAGGCAGTCATKTAGGATTAAAGGACTGCTACCATAACTGCTAAGAAAGGGAAGAAGGAAAGCAGATCAAGACAAGTCGATAGACAAAGCAAACAACCCTAACCTCTATGGCGATTACTACATTCCAATTCCATCCGGTATGGAGCCACCTTCTTCACCTGGCATACCCGCTTCCTTGCGTGCAAGGGAGCTTTGGAGCATGCAAAATCAAGAGGAGTCCCTTTGCCCTAGCGAACGACAAGAGAAGATATCAAGATGACTACCAAAAATACAGCTGTGTTTCTTCTTATTACTTACAAATATCAAAAGCTTGATTTCCATGGCCAAAGACCTCTTGTCAATAGATGTGCGAATTAAAAGATGGGCATTGATTGTGGAATAACGTTTATATATAGGGTCAGGTTCAGGGGAAAACCACAAAATTGAAAAACTGAGGAACACTCTAAGCAATTTGTCTGATATGACATGTGCATAACATGACGTGCATAAAAACCAAGAAAGATCTTCAATTAGCTGTATGCACATGTGCACACCGTCCAGATAAATGGTTACCAGGGTGTTCCTCATTTTTTCATTTTTCTGGGGTTTTCCCTGAACCTCCGTCTATATATATAGGCGAAGGATCGTGTGAGAAAAAGAGTTAAAGTGAGAAGCGTAAGAAGAGATCTGAACCCTTGATCGCTTTTAATCTCATGCCGACCCATGAATTGCGCGTTAGAAGGGAATTGATCCGGTGCACCTCATTTATGTTGACATTCAATTAGGATCGATCGAAGGGTGGAGATCTCTTCTTACGCTTCTCACCGGAACCCAACCTTGTATATATAATTTAGGAACTTTTAAAAAATTTAGGAACCTAGGAACTTCCTATTTTGTGAGTATGCATGATGAATATTATTCATCATGAATATTTTATCACGTTATTTCATCATGAATACTCACATAAAAGGTGGTTCTTGGTTTCCTAAAATATTTAAGGTTCCTAAATAAGCCTCCCCCTTCTCTCTATATATGTATGTATATATTTTTGACAAAATGGAGGTTCAATATAGATTGAACTTCCATATAAAGGGCCAAACACTTCTATTTGGATGTTGGGAGCTATGTGTCACTTGTTTTTGTGGTTGGTAACATAGATGTTTAATAGATCGACATAAAAAAGAGGAGTTCCATATCAATATATGCGGACATATGATGTTGATTTTGATTTGGGAAATGATTCCATGTGTGCCACGACTCCTACCATGGGCAATTGTGCATGTAAGCACCAAGTATTATCATATAATGTATGATGAGAGATCTGTTACTGTGTTTACAACCTTTATATATTTGTCAAATTTTTTTAGAGCTCAATAGGATGTCAAATCTCAATACTGATTCCAATCTTGTCGGAGCTCAAGAAAGAAGTACCATCTATTGTTCATCCCTCAAGCACTGCCATTAGTTTAAGGTTTAAAAGAATGATAATTGGCCTATTTAGTTTTACTTTTTTTTAAATTTATTATTTTTTAACTGATATGAAGTAAGGTTTAGGGAGGGTAGGATGTAAGAAGACCTTGCAACCACTCTACTCTATAGAGCAGAGGTCAAGTCTGCGTACATATTACCTTCTAGGCTAGTTTGGTTTGGTTGCGGTATCCCCTACCTAATAAGCATTATGATTATAAAGGATGTACATGTTATGAGCTCCAAAATTCAGGAGTTTGCTTTTTATTAGGGCAACTTATAAGCTTTAATCCCCAGCCGTTGTAGGTGTTTAAGAGCCTGTAGACTCGTTAGTTAATGAACCACTTAATAGTTCAATGACTCATTCAGTCATGCATCTTTAAGCTTAGGACTTTCTGGTTCTTCATGTAAGTGGGTCATAGAGATTTTGCTTCACCTCTTAATGAATCATATGACAATGTAAGTTTGACCCATTAAGTGCAACTATGATTTACTTTTTGGATGAAAAGCGTCACTTTCTTCTTAAAACTACACTCATCTTTTCCGGTTTCTTATAGCTTTTTCACTGTCATATTTGGCTACAGACTAAATTGGATTCTGCAAAAAGATTGTTTCTGTGCTAATCCAATATATATTTGGCCGGGCTAAGAGTAATAAAGCATGCTTTTATGTTACTAAACTGTACCTCGTTTTACTTTTACATGCTATCGCAATAGCCATTTTTCGTTTTGGGTGATGTTTGGCAAATTAACCAATAAGCTTGTTGTTAGCCGATAAATTAGTCACGTTTGGTAAAAACTAGATGATAAACTAAATGACTATGTAAAATGGCTTAAAAGGACATGTTGAAAAACTATTGGAAAAATATTAGGGGCATAATTGGAAAAATTGGAAAAAAGCCACTGGAGCTTACTAAACGTGTTTAAAAAAGCTAGCTTATAAGCTTGTTTATGGCTTACCTAACTGGGTTTTCTCAGTAAGCTCAAAAAATCTCCTAGCTTATGGTTGCAATACATGGCCTTAGTACACTTTTCTAGTCACAACTCACTACTCGTGATCCTGCTGACTCACAACTAATCCATTTAAAATCTTGGTAGCATGAACGAACAGTTAACATTTCAATTCAAAGCGATATTCCTTTTTCTTTGCTACTATCTTATTGAAACTTTGTGATGCACAGAAGCAATTCAAGGCTGGAGGATGCAAAAGTTAAAGGAAGCCAAAAGATTAAGACGTAGGAAGACTTCAAATTCTACTATCCAGCCAGAAGAAGCAGGTCTTTCAATCTTTAATGATAAGCATATTGTAAGAAAGATTACATAAGTTGTTTTATACAAAAAGGGTATGTTTTTGTAGGAATACTTGCAAAAGCATTGGAGTCTAATTGGTCCGACCTATTAGATGAACTTGGCCTCTGGATACCGGTTAATGTTATCAACAATGAACATAATGACAAACCTGAGGGAGAAGATGATTTTGGTATTTAGACCTTTTCTTTTGCTTACTTCGCTTCTTTGCTGAAAGAGCAAAATGCAACAAAATCTGGTTTAGTTCCTATTTACTCTAACGAATAATTTTTTTTTCTCAATTGATGTAATGAAGTTTCATTTCTTTTTTTTATTTTGTGCCCATTTTGACCTATTGATCTTGTGGCATCTGAAGACGTGGATACCCTTTTACGTAAGGTTTACGACGAAGTTGACATACATGCCATCAAATGTTACCTAATTAATGGGTTACCAGTCAAAATGGGGAAAATGGGAAATTTTGGAACTTTGTTTCCTTAAATAAATTTTCTTGACACTTCTTGCATTGATTGAGAAGACAAATTCTTTGTTACACCAAATAGGAACTAAGGCAAACTTCTTTGTATTTTGAAAACCATTTAGTTATGACGAATGAAACATACCCATTTCCAGATGATAAGATCCTAGCTGGCAGGCGTCTGCCGCCTGAATGCAATGTGGAACATCATACCGACTACGGCGGCCAAGCTGTGAAATGGGGGCTTACCCATCATAAAGAAAGTGCATATGAATGTTGTCAAGCTTGTTTAGATCATGCTAGAAATGCTAAACCAGATGAAATCAAATGTAATATATGGGTTTACTGCCCGCTTGAGGAAGGATGCCATTCCCCGGATATATACCAACACAAACTTCAGGAATGCTGGCTAAAATATGTAAGTTCTTCGTTTGTTTTCGCCCTTTTTTATTTTATCTATCTAACATGTCTGTTAATTTACAATCCATGATTTCTTATCTTGTGGTCGTTATGTTTTGATACTTTGGAACTCTTAAGAGCTATCTCTAACAGTTTCTCCATAATTTTTCCGAAATGGAGAAAATTTCCAAAAAAGAATTACGTCCAACTCCAATAGTTTCTTCATTTTGGAGATTCTAATATTAATTATACTAATAAACTATTCAATACCTTTCTCTAAAATGGAGAATTTTTGGGGGATATGTTGTACCAAAAAACCAAGACAAAAACCCCATTTTGGAGAATCCATAAGTGTATCAATGATGATAAAAGTTCCACTTATGAAGGGTTTATAAGAATTTAGCTGGGGACAGCTGTTTAATCCTTTGGGTAGAGGGCAGGTCTGTATATATCTCACCTCTCCTAGACGCTGCTTTCCAATGGGAGATATTTGGTTTGGTTAATTTGATTTGTTTTGATTTCTTATCTTTTGATGTGCAGGCTGAAACGCCTAAAGTAACCTTTAAAGACATGTATTCGGAGAATTACAGAAGTCGTCATCCAAATGCACCGATGTTTGTTCCTTGGGTGTCGGGTGTTATAAGTTCTTGAGGCAATTGGACAAAAGAAGACTAAAGGCTCATGTCTGTATCTTTACACATGCAATTTTGTTAGTTGCATATTGTTGAACTTCATTTGTTGGTTTAGGGTTTTGGTGTTAGGTTGGAGCCAAAAGGAAGGCTTACACACATTGGTGGGCAATGCAAAAAGCTTTTGCTCAGTTAATGTATTTTTATAGTCAAATTGGGGATATTATTTCTTGAAATTGGTTTATGGGACATTCTTAAGGTTGTTACGTGGGTTATTATAAGAACCTCTATCGCGATCACAGATTCATGTCTTGTCACAGGTTCTAAGAATCTAGAAGCTTGAATAAGAGCACATGCTCTTGTCTTGATTCTTGTATATTTATCGTTTTTATACGAGTTTATTGTATTTTGTTCTAGCAAGCCTATAAAACATATTTCATAAAATACATAAACATGTTTTGTCGAGTTGATGCTCTATGTGATTAGAAAAATACGGAAAGGTTCTTATTAATGCCTCGTTACCACTCAATGTGTGTTCCCGGTTAATTTCAATATTTATTTACATAGTGTGATATTCACACTAGATAAATCATATTAATAACATGGGAAATTAAGAACGATTGTTTGAATTAAGAAGATTTTTTCTTTTTTGGAAATAAACCGACCGTAAGAATATGGAATTGGAACCATCAACCATATCTTCACATGCTTGAGTGAATGCATCCATGATTGGGTAGAACTGCTATGACTTGTGAATCAGCCAACCGAGAAGGCTACTTGGATCATATTATGCTATCATATTATAATAAGTTGTGAAATCTAATGTTATGTCGGTTAATTTTCAGTTTAAGGTTTCAAATGTATTAGTATTTAGTCAGAATCCACTAGAATGGTTTAGTTTTAGATTTTGGATTAGTATTTCAAAGTATGCATTCAAATATTTCAGTCTGCTATGATTGGTTTAGTTATAGATCGTTTATGTTATTATATAGTGCTAATGTTTAATATAGAGTAGTGTGTAGCACGATCCTACCAACAAAGAAAACATCTTTCAAGAAGGCTTTAGCCCAATATTTATGTTGATAAATATCTTTGTCGTCCAACTATCACCTTCGAGGTTATACTTAACCGCATATGCAAATCACTATAGCGACTTGTATGTGGTTGAAAAGGTTCTAACTCATGTTTCTTCATATGCCATGCGTATTGACTATGCTGAGTATGTCGAAACACTTTACTGATTGTTTTACCTGCAACATTATCCTAGTCAATAATTATTGTAGATGGATACTTGTCAAACATGCACTTTTTGTTTCGTAAAAAGAAACCATGAGAAAACTACATAGAAAATAATTTGTTCTCGTTCTTATTTTAATGAACGTATTCTCAAAAGATACATTTTGGTGCTCTTGTTAATCTGATGGTGTATAAAACAAAACAAATACAAGTACAACGAAAAAAGTCAAATAAACTTAACATATCTTATTTGAAAGTAAGGGATCAGACAAAAACAATAAAAAAAAAAATAAATAAACTAACAAACAGGTAAATATAAGTTTTTAAGCCATTAGTTGTACACATTAATACAAAACTTGTATTTTAATCTGTCTGCAGCCGTCCTAATAAAATAATTATAACGAATTAACTTTTTAAAACTTTTGACTACAAATCTCATAGAAATATTATAATAAGATGTATGAGAATCAAAACAAGATGTATATAGAAATGTGGATACTTGTTTTGGGGAGTACTTATTAATTATGATTTTTGAAAAATTACTAAACAAAACAAGATGTAAATAAAATATAAACATTGAGATTTGACATATAAATAAAACATAAAATAGTTTATATTACATTTTCATTTATTCTAAAATAACATTATTTGTGGTACAATTAACACATACAAGCCGCATGTACTTCGGTATTCAATCTGAATACGAGGTAGCCCATGAAGCAACATACGGATAACTATGGAAAAAATGTGCTATAACAGTAGAAAACGAGTATCATTCTGCCAAATTTAATTTCACATAATGGTTACCATATGACGTACCCAATAATTCTAAATACTAATATGAAAAATGACATGAATACTATCATCGTGATTTTATCATAAAATTATCATTTAACCGTATTTTGATGATTTTAATTGCTGACAATTTGGTTTTGTATGTGTGTATTCAGAAATGGAGAAAGATGATGAGTGATCTTATCATTTCTTTTTTCTTTCTTACTTTCTGACGTTCTTCTTTGCCCCTATTTTTCCTTTTTCTATCAATGTACAACGAGTGAGACTTAAAGAATACGAGACTCTAATGGTAAGACTCGGATGTAAAGACGTATGGAGAAGAGATTGAATGTTCATATAAAAGAAGATGTGATATGGAGAAGATATGATAAATTCAAAACAATAACATCCTCTATTAAGTGAAAGTAGAGATGAGAATCTTGGAGTTTGGAGACCAACCCACATTTGTAAAGTGTAAAACAAAATGAGAGTATTTAAATCAAGAAGTAATTATGAATTATAAATTAATTAATAAAAAAAATACCTAAAGAAGGGTTTTTGAGGGTAGAAATGGAAATGAAGCAGAGGAAGAAGAAGATGATGATGATGATCAAAAGTAGTGTTGGAGGTAGTATCTATATTATATTATAAAACATTTGAYAATAACTCTTAAAAACCATTTTTTATGCATGAAGTACTGTTTATTGATGCATATTACTTAAAATTCAAGATTACAAGTGATTTTGCGTAAGTACAACTTATTAAAGCTTTTTTTTTTTTAATTCGTGTAACTAACTGYAGATAAACATAATCAAATACCGGATAAACATTTATTTTAAATATAAAAAATCTAAAATATAATTAAGGTAATCATTGAGTTTCTAACCGAATGTTTAATTATTATCTTTTATAAAAATTATATTATTAAACCAAAAATAAATTACCTTGTTATTAGACCTAATTTAAATTATAATAAAAAATTGAATTAAAGAAGTTACAGCAAAAAAACAAAAATTATTAAATAGTTAATTTAAAGCTAATACCGATTTTTTTTATGTTATTTTCAAATTTATATTTCATTCAAAAATAAAAACATTATCGTTTTCTCAAAACCACATAAAATTGTATTATATCAATAGAGACAAATAAGAAAAACTAAACATTAAAATGAAGATTTATCTCGCTGCATTGTGCGAGTTCCCTTCTAGTACATAATAATATATATAAAAAAACCGTAAAATATATATAATATAATATTTAAATAAATATAAGAATCTAATTTTATATATATATATATATATATATATATATATGTATATGAAAANTATATATATATATATATATATATGTATATGAAAACATTTATTTGAGAAATGATAAATATTTGATAAGTAAAGAAGTGATCATATTCTTTCATCTGGTCAACATTGCAGCTTTGACCRTGAAACACCGGATAACTCCTCGCATGGTAAGTAAGATTTCAGGTTTAATTTATCTTCTATCATTAAAATGATTATGGGTCCGTTTCTTGAAATCAAATTATTTTGAGTACCATGTTTTAGGCAAGAAAAGGGCTCAAATGGGTGAAAAGTGAGAAAAATCCTTGGTATATGTTTGGCTATTGTGCCTGGCGATGGTGCATGTAGCACAAGAGCATGTTAGGATTTCCCCAAGGGGAGGAGTGTTAGGATCCAAGCGCTTACCACTACGCCAAAAGCAATTGCTGGTGGAGAAGGCGCAACTTATTTTCTTATAGCGTAGCAGCCAGCGCCACGTTTCCCAACAATCCCCCCCCAACATTTGCCAACACTAACAAGATCTTTGTTATAAGTCAATGGCTGCACAGCATGCCTTTCGCATCATTATGCACTCCATGGGATTCGAACCCGTGACCTGCTCTGATACAACATGTTAAGATCCAAGCGCTTACCACTACGCCAAAAGCAATTGCTGGTGGAGAAGGCGCAACTTATTTCCTTATAGCATAGCAGTCAGCGCCACGTTTCGATTTAGAAAGATGCTGGTCAATGACCCAACAAGGGGGCTCGGTAAAATCCAAGTATAGTGCCCGCTATAATGCCATGGGCAAGATAGCATGGTAGGATCGCCAGACTTCCCCAACACCAATAAGACCCGATTTTCAGTCTCATTCTTCATTTCACCCTAACTTCTTCACTTCAACTCCGTTTTGGATGATTCCTTTTGCTGTAGATTTATATTTTGAAACTCTTCAAGATGGAAACCAAGTGGATTGAATTTTCCTTGAAGTTTTGGGGTTCCTATAAGTCAAAAGGTAACATAACCAACTATCTCTTAACCTAGGGTTTGGTTCTTTTCACTCCAACCCTCATTTCTTATCTTAGGTTTGTTTGTGTATGTTTTGGAAGTAAAGTAAGTTTTCTTGAGAAGCTATAAATCATAGATCTGAAGTCTAGCTTGAGGATCTCAAGTCTTCACTAAAGGAAGCTCAATATTTGGAGTAAAACCTAGATTTAGCATAAATCTAGCAAGGTGAGTTCAAATTGCTTTGTGAAAACTATGTACATGCCAAAATGAGTATTTTGAAGTATTAAAGTGTTTTACTTGGTGTTTATCAAATGTGTTGAGTATTTGACAAAGTTTGCATAATCATGTAAAATGTTTACGTTTGGGTTTTTAGACATTTTGATCAAATAAATCATAAGTGTGGGTTCTTTTGATGATTATCCTTTAAAATGAAGATTATTTAGTGATGAATGCATTTTAGCGTATTTGGTTATAAAATGCATATTGTTGTATTACGGGATCTTTGGAAATATAAATGGTCTGGTTTTACTTGGAAAAATGATTTGTCCCAATTAATGATGTATTTTTTAGTTGATCATGTCTTTAGAACATTTGTTTGCATAAACTTCGGTTAAATACGTTTTACTGCTTTTGATGATTTTTATGAAATAATCAATTGGGTTATTGAGCTTTTGCCTCGGTTTTGACTTTAATGAGCCTTGGGGACACTTGTCCGGTTTT